TCCTAAGAGATCTTCAAGGGTGGAGGGATGATTCCCTTCCATCCTTTCATCAGGTCGGTCCTGGATCACTTTGGGATCGCACCGATGCAGCTCACACCGAACGCGTATGTCATCACCGTCGCGATGTACATCGCATGCTGCGAGAGCGGCTTGGGCGAGCCAACGGCGGTGGAGCTCGGCGTCGCCTATTATCTCAAAAAGAGTAGGGACAAGGATTCGTATTACTTGTCCCGGTGACCTACCATTGCCGAGGGGATACATAGCTATCCCAGCAACGCGGGAGCCTACGAGACCAAATTCTTCTTTTTCTACTATGATGGCTACTGCCACTTTCAGACGCCAAGTAGGTTCTTCTTCGTTAGGTATATTATATGTTCGCATGCTTTATGATAACGACCTGTTTCTTCTTTTGCAGTCAATAGAACGACCAGCCAAGACTTGCTCGATGACCCGGACAGACTTGTATCTTTTGGAGTGCTGCCCGAGGAAAGCCGAGACGCGAGGAAGCTAGTGACTACCGCGAACCTGCGGAAGTACGGTTTTATCAATAGCAACGCGTCTTTAGAACCCCTTGAAGAAGGTAAGCTATATTAGTTCTTTCTGGTCGCCGAATAGTTTTGTTTACTAACGCACTTTCGTGCAGAAGTTATGCCTCCGAAGGAGTCCGGGCAGTCTCGCCGAACACCGTTCGTCTTCCCTCGATCGAGGAGTGAGAGGGCGACCGAAGCTGCTCTTCCTATCCCCGCACAACCGACGCGAACTGTCGCGCCCTTACGCCCCCAACTCGTGCAAGGAACGACCAGGGCGGAGCAGGTCGCTCAGGCACCACCGACTCGCCCAAAGCGAAAGGCTCCGGCTCAAAAGTCGAAGAAGAGGAAACAGGTTCAGGTCGACGAGTCTGAAACTGAATCTGAGGAGGAGCCCTTGAGGTCGCGACAGGACTCAAGGAGGTCGGGCAAGGAGCCCGTGGGCGAGGCGATCGCAAAGGACGCACCAGTGCTCGACTCACTGGGGAGCCTGCCCGAGTATCTACAACCGGTAGTCTATTCTCTGCTTGAGTGTGGACTATCAGAATCATATGATGAGTTCGCTGACACGGGCGACGACCTGATGACCACGTCGTTCCAGCATCTAAGCAAGGTAAGCGAGCAGCATCTAAGCAGGGTAAGCGAGCTGCTCTTAAAACTTCATCCTGGTTCATTTCTAATCACTTTCTTGCTCGCAGGCTTTGCTTGCGATGAGGATGTCTATGGAGAAGACCCGGCTGGGGGCCGCGAAGGAGTCCAGTGAGTAAGAGGAGATCGCGAAGCTTAAGAAAAGCCTGGAGTCCGCCGAAGCTGAAAGAACAGAGGCATTCGATGCGGCGAACAGGTACCTGGTCCAAAAGGATGCCGCTTTGCGAACTGTAGACTTCCAGAAGGCGGAGCTCGAGCGACGTGCGGAGGAAGTAAAGGAGCTTCAAAGGATAACCGCCAGGCTCTCCAAGGAGGTCGGGGAGAAGGACCAGGAGATCCAGACGACCTCCATATGGGCTCAGAAGGCTGAACAGGAAAGGGAGGCCTCCGAACAGGAGAAGCGAGCTCTTGAGGCCGAACTCCANATCAATAGCAACGCGTCTTTAGAACCCCTTGAAGAAGGTAAGCTACATTAGTTTTCTTTCTGGTCGCCGAATAGTTTTGTTTACTAACGCACTTTCGTGCAGAAGTTATGCCTCCGAAGGAGTCCGGGCAGTCTCGCTGAGCATCGTTCGTCTTCCCTCGATCGAGGAGTGAGAGGGCGGCCGAAGCTGCTCGTCCTATCCCGGCACAACCGGCGTGAACTGCCGCGCCCTCACGGCCCCAACCCGTGCAAGGAACGACCAAGGCGGAGCAGGTCGCTCAGGCACCACCGACTCGCCCAAAAGAAGAGGAAACAGGTTCAGGTCGACGAGTCTGAGACTGAATCCGAGGAGAAGCCCTTGAGGTCGCGACAGGACTCAAGGAGGTCGGGCAAGGAGCCCGTGGGCGAGGCGATCGCAAAGGACGCACTAGTGCTCGACTCACTGGGGAACCTGTCCGAGTATCTGCAACCGGTAGTCTATTCTCTGCTCGAGTGTGGACTATCGGAATCGTATGATGAGTTCGCTAACACGGGCGACGACCTGATGACCACGTCGTTCCAGCATCTAAGCAAGGTAAGCGAGCTGCATCTAAGCAGGGTAAACGAGCTGCTCTTAAAACTTCTGGTTCATTTCTAATCACTTTCTTGCTCGCAGGCTTTGCTTGCGATGAGGATGTTTATGGAAAAGACCCGGCTGGGGGCCGCGAAGGAGTCCAGCGAGCAAGAGGAGATCGCGAAGCTTAAGAAAAGCCTGGAGTCCGTCGAAGCTGGAAAGAACAGAGGCATTCGATGCGGCAAACAAGTACCTGGTCCAAAAGGATGTCGCTTTGCGAACTGTAGACTTCCAGAAGGCGGAGCTCGAGCGACGTGCGGAGAAAGTGAAGGAGCTTCAAAGGTCAACCGCCAGGCTCTCCAAGGAGGTCAGGGAGAAGGACCAGGAGATCCAGACGACCTCCATATGGGCTCAGAAGGCTGAACAGGAAAGAGAGGCCTCCGAACAGGAGAAGCGAGCTCTTGAGGCCGAACTCTAGGAGAGTCGAGAAAAGGTCGCTTCACTGACTGAGGAAATGCGGATTCAGTCAGAGGAGACGGAGGAAAAGGCCGCCGATTGGGCGATCGGGGCTATTTACACGCTGCGATCAAAGAACCCGGATCTCGACGTCTCCGTCCTCCCATCGGGTTGGCAAGAGACTTTGTGGCTCTTGGCAGAGGAAGACGACGAAGCAGCAGCAGCAGCAGCCGCTAGGGGGCCCGACCAGGCAGAGGGTTCGGGTGCTACTTCGAAGGATCCCCCTGACCAGCCGTAGTGTAACGAGCTTTGGCTCCATTGAAAGTGGGTCTAATTTTTACTTGTACATCAATGAAAATACATTTTTTTTTTAATTACAATTCGCTTTTTCATACATGCGTGCTTGTTCGCAATTTTAGTTCAATTACATAGGCAATGCTATTCATGAATTACAAGCGAACAGGATAAACTTGAACCATTAAGCGAACAGGATAATACTTTACATTAAAGAGGGAACTAACAAACAAACTAATTGAGAGCTGAGTTCGGGATTACTGATAATATGGTCGGAGGTGTTCGGCATTCCAAGCTCGGGGTACTTTGGAACCATTCAGCCTTTTGAGGTGGTAAGTCCCTGGTCTGATCACCTTATCGACCCGATATGGACCTTCCCAGTTAGGTCCTAATACCCCTGCACTTGGTTCCCTGGTTCCGAGAACTTCCTTCAACACAAGGTCACTGACCTGGAAGTCTCTTCGCTTGACCCTTGAATCGAAAAACCTCTTTGCTCGCTGCTGGTAGGCTGCTATCCTTAGCGAAGCCTTGCTGCGATGTTCTTCAACGAGGTCCAAACTTGCCCTCATAAGTGCTTCGTTTTCAACCTCATCGTACAAGTCCCTCCGAAGTGAACCGGTTCCCACCTCCACAGGAATCATCGCTTCGCAATCGCACCGCCGTGGGAGGACCAGGGCGTTTCGCAGGCCTGACGTGCGCTTACCGTTCTGACGGGAGCAGGCCACGTTTCGTCACGCAACTCCACGTCAGCCTTTGATTTCTTAGTCATAACAGAAGCCCCCTAGTTTGTAAGGTTTGAGGTTCGAACCTTGGAAACTAAGTTATGCCGCGGTTGGAGGTTTTGGTTGTTCCGACCTGAATAGAAGAAGCTCGGGACACGACCTTCGGCGAACACGACCTCGCACAATTCTCGCCCAAACGACCTGACAATCGTCATTTTAACGACCTGGATTCATCGGGTGCTCTTTTACGTGCCTTAGAGAGATTCAATGAACCCGCATCCACGCTGTCAAGTGCTCTGCACGCGTCGCAGTGTCTGCCAGAAGCATTAAATGCGCTGTGCTGACTCGGCGTCGTTTTGACAGCTTTAACTGCACGACGCATTTGAAACGACGACTCCTATCACGTCATTTAATGCGACGTGGGGCGCATTAAATGCGGGGAGAGAGAGAAGCCCGTCGTTTCAGTTCCGAGAGGTAGTAACCGCCGATTCACAGTCCGTATAAAAACTCACATTGTTCAGATGAGATCACGAAAACCTTTTTCGTTTCCAGTGACAAGCCTTAGCAAACCAGAAACTATTCTTTTCCGATCGGCGCTTCTCAGGCAACTGAAGCGAGTTTCGGCCTCGGTTACGCATCCCAGAAGGTAAGATTCTCTTCTTTTTCTTTTTCGCATTTGTTTGGTTGGTGGGCAACGGCGTTGGACCTCCTAGTGTTCCACCAGAGACGCGCCACTGTTGCCGGACTCGAGCCGTGGGTGGCGGCTCGAGTTACTGTTAGGGTTTTAGGAATTTGTCCCCTGTCGCCGCACAGGACAAAACACGAGGGCCTAAATGACCGTGTCTGTCGGTGTTGCAGACTCTGGAATGGATCCGTCAACGTCCAGACCCGAGGAAGCGGCCAGCTCGTCCTCGCGGGACGTTCCCGAGGACGCATCCTTTGATGTCTTCTCGGTTCTCACCCAAAAAGAGCTTAATAGGATAAAAAAGCAGTTTGACATCCGCACGGAGGTGTTCTTCGACCACACCAGGTCGTCACGGCGCCCTTCCGATGGCCTTGCCGCGATCTCCGAAGAGATCGTCAAGGGTGGAGGGATGATTCCCTTCCATCCTTTCATCAGGTCGGTCCTGGATCACTTCGGGATCGCACCGATGCAACTCACACCCAACGCGTATGTCATCGCCGTCGCGATGTACATCGTGTGCTGCGAAAGCGGCTTGGGCGAGCCAACGATGGTGGAGCTCGGCGTCGCCTATTGAAAAAGAGTAGGGACAAGGATTCATATTACTTGTCCCGGCGACCTACCATCGTCGAGGGGATACATAGCTATCCCAGCAACGCGGGGGCTTACGAGACGAAATTCTTCTTTTTCTGCTATGACGGCTACTGCCGCTTCCAGATACCAAGTAGGTTCTTCTTCGCTAGGTATATAACCTGCTCGCATGCTTTATGATAATGACCTGTATTCTTTTGCAGTTAACAGAACGACTAGCCAGGACTTACTTGACGACCCAGACAGGCTCGTATCTTTTGGAGTACTAGACGAGGAGAGCCGGGACGCAAGGAAGCTCGTGACAACCGTGAACTTGCGAAAGTACGGTTTTATCAGCAACAAAGCATCTTTAGAACCCTTGGAAGGTAAGTTACATTGATTTTCGTCCTGGTCGCGGAGCAGTTTTGTTTACTAACGCACTTGCATGCAGAAACTATACCCCCGAAGGAATCCGAGCAGCCCCGACGAGCACCGTTTGTCTTCCCTCGATCGAGGAGGGAGAGAGCGGCCGAAGCTGCTCGTCCCATTCCTGCACAACTAGTGCGAACTGCCGCACCTTCACAGCCCCCTGTGCATGAAGCGACCAGGGCAGAACAGGTCGTTCAGGCACCACCGGCATGCCCAAGGCATAAGGCTCCGGCCCAAAGGTCGAAGAAGAGGAAACAGGTTCAGGCCGAAGAGTCTGAGACCGAATCCGAGGAGGAGCCCTTGAGGTCGCGAAGGGACTCAAGGAGGTCGGGCAAGGAACCTGCAAGCGAGGCGATCACCTCCGACAAGGCGAAGGACATACCAGTGCTGGACTCGCTGGGGAGCCTGCCTGAGTACCTGCAGCCGATAGTCTATTCTCTGCTCGAGTGTGGACTATCGGAGTCTTACGACGAGTTCGCTGACACGGGCGACGACCTGATGACCACGTCGTTCCAGCATCTAAGCAAGGTAAACGAGCTGTTCTTAAAATTTTGTTCTGGTTCATTTCTAACCATTTTTTGCTCGCAGGCTCTACTTGCGATGAGGATGTCTATGGAGAAGACTCGGCTGGGAGCCGCGAAGGGGTCCAGCGACCTACAGGAGGAGGTCGCGAAGCTCAAGAAAAGCCTGGAGTCCGCCGAAGCTGAAAGAACACAAGCATTCGATGCGGCGAACAGGTATTTGAGCCAAAAGGATGCTGCTTTACGAACGATGGACCTCCAAAAGTCGAAGCTTGAGCGACGTGCGGAGGAAGTGAAGGAACTTCAAAGGACGACCGCCAGGCTCTCCAAGGAGGTCAGAGAGAAAGACCAGGAGATCCAGACGACCTCCATATGGGCCCAGCAAGCTGAACAGGAAATGGAGGCCTCCGAACAGGAGAAGCGAGCTCTTGAGGCTGAACTCCAGGAGAGTCGTGAAAGGATCGCTTTACTGACTGAAGAAATGCGGAATCAGTCAGAGGAGCTGGAGGAAAAGGCCGCCGACTAGGTGATCGGGTCCATTTATTCCCTCCGATTAAGGAACCCAGATATGGACATTTCCGACCTCCCGGAGGGGTGGCGAGAGACTTTGCGGATCATGGCTGAGGAAGACGATCAGGCAGCCGCGGCCACCCAACGACCCGACCAGGCAGGGGGTTCTGGTTCGAAGGATCCCCCCGACCAGCCGTAGTGTAATGAGTCGACTCCATTGTAATTGGGTCTAACTTTTGTTTGTACATAAATGAAGATACATTTTCTTTTCAATTGCAGTTCGCTTTTTCATACATAAGTTCAATTTACAATCCAGTTCACAAGCAATATTACATGCGAATTCTTACACGTGAACAGAACACATACGAACTGTTTCCAGCGAACAAAATTAAGCTTTACATTAGAAATGAAATTAACATAAACTGATTGAGAGCTGAGTTCGGAATTACTGATAGTATGGTCGGAGGTGTTCGGCATTCCAAGCTCGGGGTACTTTGGAACCGTTCAGTCTTTTGAGATGGTAAGTCCCCGGTCTGATCACCTTATCGATCCGATATGGACATTCCCAGTTAGGTCCTAATACCCCTGCACTTGGTTCCCTGGTTCCGAGTAGAACTTCCTTCAACACAGGTCACCGACCTGGAAATCTCTTCGCTTGACCTTTGAATCGAAAAACCTCTTTGCTCGCTGCTGTGAGGCTGTTATCCTTAGCGAAGCCTTGCTGCGATGTTCTTCAACGAGGTCCAAACTTGCCCTCATAGTGCTTCGTTTTCAACCTCATCGTACAAGTCCCTCCGAAGTGAACCGGTTCCCACCTCCAGGAATCACGCTTCGCAGCCATATGCTAGCGAAAAAGGGGTCTCTGAGTGGAAGTTCTTGGAGTTGTCCTGTATGCCTATAAGATCTCGGGGAGGTCGTCAGCTCATCCCCTTGGCTACCCCAAGTTTGGCCTTTAGAGTGTGCTTGATGGTCTTGTTGACTGCTTCAACTTGGCCATTTGCTTGCGGTCTCGCGACTGAAGCGAATTTTTTATGGATGCCCAGCTCGTCGCAACGTTTGAACTCCTCGTTGTCGAACTGCTTTCCTATTGTCTGAGATGAGGGTGTGGGGAATTCCGTAGCGGCACACTATGTTCTTGAAAACGAAGTCTTTAAGCTTTCTGGTCGTGATCGCGGCAGAGGTTCGGCTTCCACCCATTTTGTGAAATAATCGACCGTGACCACGGCATACTTGACCCCTCCCTTTCCAACTGGCATGGGACCGATAAGGTCGATCCCCCACATGGAAAACGGCCAGGGGCTAGACATTGTTGTCAGTTCGTGCGAGGGGGCTCGCGGAATGTTCGCGAACCACTGGCACTTGTCACATTTTTTAACGAAGTTGTGCGTATCTTCCTGGATCCGGGGCCAATAATATCCCTAACAAACAACCTTGTTCGCAAGAGATTGAGCGTTGTGTGGTTACCGCAGATCCCTTCATGGATTTCCCTCATGATGTAATCTGCTTCTTCACTGGTTACACTCGGAGGAGGGGCACTGAATCCTCTTCTGTACAGCTGGTCCCCGATGTTGAAACGAGCAGATCTTACTCGCAGGATCCTTGCCTCGACCTTGTCGCTTGGCAAGGTCCCATCCTTGAGGTACTGGGTAATGGGAGTCATCCAGGAATCCGATTGAGCCATATTTATGGCCTGTTCGGTCGAGCTGATTGTTGGAGCACCGACGAAACGAACAGGATATTGTCTGGAGCCTCTGAATCCATCAGGACTATCTTTGCCAAGGCGTCCGTTATAGAATTGCTCTCTCTGGGGATCTGAGCGATTTCAAATGCTTAAACGACCCCACGCGTTCTTAGCCTCTTCAGGTAGCGGACCATGTTCTCTTCCTTGGCTTATATTCCCTTAGAATTTGGTTGACGACCAGCATAGAGTCGCTGTAAATGCTGATCGTGGTCGCACCCATTTCTTTGGTAAGTCGCAACCCAGCGAGCAGAGCTTTGTACTCGGCCTCATTGTTGGTCGCTTTAAATCCGAACCGAAGAATACCATGAATTCGAGCCCCCTCGGGGCTCACAAGGAGAAGACCCGCACCGGCTCTTTTCCTGTTTGATGACCGTCCGCTAAGAGCCAGTCGACAGGTTTCTGAATACTTTCTTGCACGGCTTCGCTAGGCTGTTGCTCGCTTGGGATAAGAAAATTTCGAGATGAAGTCGGCGACAGCCTGCCCTTTAATGGTCGACCTGGGCTTGTACTTTAGGTCAAACTGGCTCAATTCTATGGCCCATTTGAGCAGTTTACCCGAGGCTTCTCGTTTCTGAAGGACCGCCTGATGGGGTAATTTGTCATCACATTGATTGTATGGGCATGGAAGTAAGGTCGTAGCTTTCTGGACGCGACCAGCAGAGCAAAAGCTAGTCGCTCCATTTCCGGATACCGCATCTCGGCATCCGATAGACGCTTACTTGCATAATATACTAGCCACTGAGTCTTTTCCTCTTCCCGTATTAAAGCTGCACTGACCACGAACTGGGAGACGGACAGGTAGATGAGCAGGATTTCCTGTGGAGAGGTTTAGAGAGGAGAGGTGGCTTCCCAAGTGTTCTTTTATACTGGAATGCCTGCTCGCATTCGGAATTCCATTCGAACTTCTTATTGGCCTTCAGAACATTGAAGAATGGTAACACGGTCTGTTAGCCTTGATATGAAGCGACTAAGTGCCGCTATCCGCCTGTTCAGACTCATGACCTGCTTTTTGCTGGTCGAGCTCTCCATATCGAGCAGAGCTTGAACTTTTTCGGGGTTCATTTCTATCCCCCGCTGATTGACCATATATCCTAGGAACTTTTCCTGATGATACCCCGAATGAACATTTAAGAGGGTTCAGCTTCATTCTGTAGAGTCGGAGTATGTCAAACATCTCTGCGAGATGCGCAATATGTTCTGAGGCGACCTGGGATTTGACCAGCATGTCGTCCACATAGACCTCCATTGTCCTCCCGATCTGTTCGGAGAACATTCGATTGACCAACCTCTGATAGGTCGCACCCGCATTCTTGAGGCCGAAGGGCATGACTTTGTAACAGTATAGCCCTCAGTCCGTAATGAAGGTCGTATGCTCCTCATCTGGTCTATATATCGGGATTTGATTGTATCCCGAGTACGCATCCATGAAGCTTAACAGCTCGTGCCCCGAGGTGGCATCAACGAGCTGGTCGATTCTCGGTAGGGGGAAGCTGTCTTTCGGGCAAGCTTTGTTGAGGTCGCTGAAGTCTACGTAGGTCCGCCACTTGCCATTCGGCTTCTTTACCAGGACCGGGTTGGCAACCCAGGTCGGGTAGAGAGCCTCACGAATGGATCCATTTCGGAGAAGGTTTTCCACTTCTGATTTTAGTGCGGTGTACCGCTCCGGATCCATCGCCCTTCTTTTTTGCCGAACTGGCTTAGCTTCACTACTGACATTCAATGAATGGCAAATAATGTCCAGGCTGATCCCGACCATATCTGCGTGCGACCAGGCAAACACGTCAATGTTCTCCTTTAAGAAGCTTACCAGCTCGGAAGCGAGCTGTGGGTTTAGACAGCTTCCAATCCTTAACACTCGGCTCGGCTCTTTCGGATCGACCGAAACCTCAGACAGATCCTCAACCGGGCCACTGGGGGGGATTTCTTGGATTCGCGGATCTAGGTTATCCTCCGCTGGACCAGGCTGTGGCTCGATCCGGGTGATCGCCATAGCCTGGCAAGGCACACATCGCGAAATGCCCTTATCTGCCATCTGTACCGCTTTTACATAGCATTCGCGAGATGCGCTTTGCGATCTGCTTACTTCTCCGATCCCCGTTGGAGTGGGGAACTTCATCTTGAGGTGATAAATGGAAGTGACTGCCTTGAAGGTTCTCAGCAGAGGTCGCCCCAAGATTCCATTAAAGGCTGACTGGCAGTCCACGACCAAAAATTCAGTAACCCTAGTTACCTGGTCGTAGTCGCCGAGCGTGACTGGTAGCTGGATCGTCCCTTTGGGGATCAGGTGATCCCCTGTAAAATCGTACAGAGGCATCGAGGCTGGCTTTAGGTCGGCCTCGACTAGGTTCATTCTATCGAAAGCGGACTTGAACAGGATGTTCACAGCGCTTCCATTGTCTACAAGCATTCTGCAGACATTATGACACCCTATCAGGGGCGTGATCACCAGAGCATCCTCATAAGGATGGTGCAAGCGAGTTGCCTCCTTCTCGCAGAAGGTGATTGGTTCCTCCTTTCTGGCTTTTTGAGGTCGCTGCGAAGTGTTCATTACCCTGATCGGGTCGTGATGTGCTTCGCGAGCATACCTTTCGTACGCTCCTTGCGTGTTTCCCGCAAGGTGTGGACCTCCGAAAATTATGTTCACATTGTTGTACCCGCTGTGATCACGACGCTTTTTCTTTTGCTCCCCTTGGTTTTCTTTTGGGGAGTCATCAATGTACTCCTTGAAGTGCCCTTTCTTGATGAGCTCTTCGATAGCCTGCTTTAGAGCTCGGCATTCGTCAGTGTGATGCCCGTTATCCCGATGGTAACGACAGTATTTTTTGCTGTTTCTAGCCGTAGCAGGAGTTTTCATTGGTTCGGGCTCACCGAGCAAGCTGGCCTCCTCAGATTTGTCGAGGATTGCAGATATGGACACGTTCAACGGAGTGTATTGAGTCTTGTCGCGGTCGCAACGAGGAACAGGAGCATAGGATTTTTTCTGCTCGTAGCGGGGTTTCTTCCCTTTTCGCTGATCGTCAATGTCTCCTTTGCGATCAGCTCTCCTATTATCTCCTCGACCAGACATACTGCTGGAAGTGCCGTGATCGCGACGGCGGAGTGCCGCCAATAAATTCTCTATTCGGAGAAACTTTTCTGCCATGTTGTAGAATCTGGTGAGGGAAATATCGTCCTCGGCCTGCAGTTCTTTCCACAGGTCGGTTTGCGGGCGAACTCCAGCTATTATAAGTATTTGGATGGATTCTTCTGGAGCGTGGGCCACCTTGTTGAGTTCC